AAGTGACTCCTGCCTTGGAGCCGTAGCAATGTTTATTTATATATGTGTGTGTGTATATATATATATATGTATTTTTTTTCAATCTTTAGAAAGAAAATTGTTGGCATAGGGCATGAGGTTTAGATGAAGATATTTTTCTTTCTTTTTCGTCTACTGGTATCAAATTGTTCCAGCACTGTTTATTGAAAAGTCTATTCTTCCTCCATTAACTTGCTTTTGTACATTTGTCAAATCAGTTGGCTGCTTGTTGGCTGTTTCTGGGATCTCTGCACCGTTCCGTTGATCACCATGCTTATCCCTCTGCCAACAGCACAGTCTTCACCGTGGTAGCTTTACAGCAAGCCATAATATCAGGTTAGATGATTCCTCCCACTTTACTCTTTTTCATGACTGTTCTAACTATTCTGGGGTCCATGTCCTTCCAGATAAATTTTAGAATAAACTTGTCTGTGTCCACAAATATCCTTTGTTGGATTTTGATAGGAATTGCATTAAAACTATAAATCAATTTGGGGAAAATTGGCATCTTTACTATGTTGAGTCTTTCAATCCGTGAACATGGTATGTCTCTGCATTTATTAAGATCTTTGATTTCTTTCTCAGCATTTTGTAATTTTCAGCATACAGATCCTGTACATGTTCTGTTAAAGTTTATACCTAAGTATTTCATTTTCTTTGGAGTGACTGTAAATGATATTGTGTTTTAAATTTTGGTTTCCACATGTTCACTGTCAGTATATGGAAATGTGATGGACTTCTGTGTGTTGATCTTGTATCCTGAGACCTTGCTGAACTCATTTATTAGTTCTAGGAGATTTTTGGTTGTAAATTCCTTGGAATTTTCTACATAGCTTATCATGTCATCTGCAAATGCAAATTTTAACTCAAAATGATCATGGACTTAAGTGTAAAAATGTGTGAAACTATAAAACTTTTACAGAAAAAAAAATAGAAAATTTTCAGGACTGAGGGCTTGGTGAAGAGTTCTTACACATGACGCCAAAAGCACAATCCACAAAAGAAAGAAATCAATAAATTGGCCTTAATCAAAGTTAAACATTTTCGTTTTGAGAAAGACTCTATTAAGAGGATGAAAAGACAAGCCACAGACTGCAAGAAGATATTTACAAACTACATGAAGGACTGGTACCTAAAATATTTTAAGAACTCTCAAAACATAAAATTAAAAAAAATGATTAGAATATAAGCAAATATATGAAGACATGTTTCACCAAAAAGGATATATGGATGGCAAATAAGCTTGCTTGTGAAAGATGTTCAACATCACTAGCCATTACAGAAATGCAAATTAAGATCACCTTGATATATTACTTCACACCTATCAGAGCAGCCAAAATAAAATAGCGGCAATACCAAATGCTGGCAATGATGTGGAGAAACTAGATCTCTTATCTATGTTGCTGATGGGAATGTACAGTGGTACAGCCACTCTGGAATAGAGCTTGGCAATTTCTCTAAAAATGAAACATATACTTAATTATATGACCCAGCAACTGCACTCTTGGGTATTTATCTCAGAGAAATGAAACTTATGTCCACACAAAAGCCTGTGTGGACATAAGTTTCCACTCATGAAGAAAGTAAGAAAAGGCGTCATGCAGGTAATTGTGGGACAGCAAGGAGAGCCACGGGTTTGGGTTTTTTTTTTTTTTTTTTTTTTTTTTTGCGGTACGCGGGCCTCTCACTGTTGTGGCCTCTCCCCTTGCGGAGCACAGGCTCCGGACGCGCAGGCTCAGCGGCCATGGCTCACGGGCCCAGCCGCTCCGCGGCACGTGGGATCTTCCCGGACCGGGGCACGAACCCGTGTCCCCTGCATCGGCAGGCGGACTCTCAACCACTGTGCCACCAGGGAAGCCCTGTTTTTTAACTTTATTTTTTAAAAAAGTGAAGTGTAGTTAATTTGCAATGTTGTGTTAGTTTCTGGTGTACTGCAAAGTGATTCAGTTATATATATATATATATATATATATATATATATATATATATATATGCACACTCTTTTTCAGATTCTTTTCCCTTATAGGTTATTACAAGATATTGAGTACAGTTCCCTGTGCTGTACAGTAGGTCCTTGTTGTTTACCTATTTTGTATATACTGGTGTGTATATGTTAATCCCAAACTTCAGTGTTTTCTTTGAGGAAGTCGTATTTGAGCTGACTTTGCGTGACGAGGAGGCCGGCGCGTGCCGGAGCTTTACAAGGGAAGGAATCGCATGTCCAGAGCAGGAGGGGTCCGAGATGAGGTGGGGGGGCAGCAAGCCACACAGGGTCCATCAGAGTGGGGAAGCCACTGGCACCTTTCAAGCAGGGGTGACATCTGCCTGGTGTTTGAAGAGGTGGCTCGGGCAGTGTGGACGTGGGTTGCGGGCACCTTGAGACTGTGGCCCTGCTGGCCGGGGCAGAGGCTCAGCCCCGTCCTGCAACGGATCAACTAGCTGAGGTGTCGCTGGGGGCTCAGGTGAGAGAGAATCCTCCAGCCCCTCCTGCAAAGCCTCGGCAAACACTGGACCCTTCCTAAAGACTGAAAACCAAAGGAGAAGACGGTGAGGGTGTGTCTTAGCTTCCTGTGGCCGCTATAACAAGCCACACCAAACAACACGGACTCACCCTCTCGCACTTCTGGAGGTCAGACGTCCAGAATCATGGGGTTGCTCCTTCCCCACACTCTGGGAGGAGCTGTTTCCTTTGCCTCTTCCAGCTCCCACAGCCTATCTTGGCTTGTGGCTCTCCCTCTGCCTTCAAACCGTCACTCCAGCCTCTGGTTCTGTCACACCTCTTTTTGCCTGCCCTTCTTGCCTCCCTTGCAATTGCACTGAGGACCCACAGAACAATCCAGAGGTGTCTCACCTTAAGGTCCTTAATTTGCAAAGTCCCTTCTGCTAGATAAGGTAACACTCACAGGGGCCAGGGGTCAGGACACGGATGTCTTTGGAGACAGGGGCAGAGGGCATTATTCAGCCTGCCATGGGGTGTTAATAGTATATAGGGTGTGGGGTTTGCCTAAAGGAAACCCACCTGACTTTATAAAACCGTGGTGTTTGATGACAAAGTGTTATGGGCTGAACTGCCTCTGCCACCCTAAATTCACATGTTGAAGCCCTAACCCTGAGGACCTCAGAATGTGACTGTGTGCGGAAATAGGGACTCCAAGTGGGTGACTGAGGTAAAATGAGGCCATATGCGTGGGCCCCAACCCAATGTGACTGGTGTCCTTATAAGAGGAGGAGATCAGGGCACACACACACAGGGACTACCACATGGGGACACGGGGAGAAGACAGCCGTCTACACGCCCAGGAGAGAGGCCTCAGGGGGAACCAGCCCTGCAACACCTATCTCCAGAACTGTGAGACCAGAAATGTCTGTTGTTTAGGCCTCCCCATCTGTGGTGCATGTTATGCAGGCCCCAGGGACCAGCACACAGAGCTGCTACTGAGAGCAGCGCCGCCCACAGCACCACGTACGGTTGGGTCAGCACTCAACATGGCTTCCCACACTCGTCCTGCCAGGCTGCTCCGTGTGGGTGGGGGAGAACCAGAGATGAGGATACAGGTCAGGATCACCATCTCCAGAAGGAAACACACAGAAAACAAAATGAGAGAACACACTAGGCTCAACAGAGAGGAGAAGAGCCTCAGGAGAGGGGTGCAAAGCAAGGTCTTTGTGAGCACCCGACTGCCAGCGGTCAGCAGACGCTTCAGCCAAGTTTACACCAGCGGAGCAGCCAGGAAGTGTCCTGCTCTGAATTGTGAAGGGGAGATAAATAGTAAGGAAACGTTTCCTTTCCAATGGTCGGCACCAGGAAGAAAGCCAGACAGGCTGATGCTAGAATGGCTGGTTGGGAGGCCCCTCCAGGGAGCGGGTCTGGGCCAAGCCCTGAGTGGGGAGGAGACATCGCCAGGCAGCCCGGGCGAGGGCCCAGGTTTGGGTCTAGCTACGGAAGACCCTGGGGAGGTTTGCTGAGGGAGGGGAGGGGGCCACCCAGTGCTGGGCCTTTGTGGGCCATGGTAGCACCATTCATTCCTATGTAACAAGCCAACCCAAACCGCAGTGGCTTCAAACAACTATTATTTCTCACGATTATACTGGTTGGGGGCAGTGGCATGCTGGTGTTTAACAACCTTCTCTCCAGAAAACAACAAAATGACCCTGATTTGCAGCAATTACCCATTTCCATGGTGTAAATACTCCTAGTGGGGCCAGTTTCAAGCTACCAACAGTGAGGTCCACAGACCGGATCAAAGGCAGCACCGCAGAGAACCTACAGGTACAGTCGTAGACGCCCTCGGGAGCAGAGGGAACAGCCAGATGCGCACGTTTATCAAGAAGGGCTGAGTCCTGAGTGCTTATTACCTTTGTTTAATCATAACTTGAGAATTCCAAGTTTATACAATTTTCTGAAGGGCTGTGTTTCAGTTACCAGTGGGAGTCATTCCTGAGATGGTGACAGTTGTCCCCTGGGAGCTGGCCACGAGGTCCTTCTGCAGGTCAGGGCTTTCAGCTGGCAGATCCGCGGGGCTGGGCCTCCCTCCAGCTTCCCAGCTCCACTGGGACCCAGGGCAGAGGCTAAGAGTGGGAAGGAACGCGCACAGCTCATCTCTGCTGCATTTGCTTTGCCAGCATCCCGAGGAACAGGATGGAAAGGACATCCATTTGCAACAGAGAAATGAACCGGCACGTGGCACGCCCAAGGGAGCGCTGGACGGCTCGACTGGGGGGTCCTCAACACCCTTCACGGTGTGTACTTCATGGCTTCCATCTCAGAGGGGCCGGGAAGGGGTGGGAATGAGGAGACAGAGCCACAGAGGCCGAATTGGGTGGCAGCCCTGTGTGCTGAGGGCCTCGGACTTAATTCTGCAGGGAGCTACGAATGCCACTGCAGGCCGGCACTTCCGGGGGAGTAACCGAGACCCAGCAGCACGGTTCCCGTCACCGTCAGGCCTGGGACGGGCTGAGCTCTAGCGGGCTGCCTGGCCCAGCAGTCAGTCTGCTTTTTCGCTGGTGACACTGGAGCCTGCCTTCCCCCAGCCCCACCTGCTTACGGGGTGCTGGCGGCTAGAAGGCGGTGAGAGGCTTGGGTCCCGCTGCTCATCAGCTTGGGGGTCAGGGACAGGCTTCTGTTCGAAGTGGTGGGGAGGCCACCAGTTCACCTGTGTCAGCTTGGAGGAAGGCTGAGGTCTGGGAAGCGGCCACCACACACAGGAAGAGAAGGGTCTCGCATCCAGCCGCGCTGGAAGTCAGGCTCACTCTGGACTTTCAAACCCAATCCATCCCCCATTTTCTCTTCCTTCCTCCAGAGCACAGGTCAGCTGCTTGGTGCTGGGCTGCTGGTGCCCTCTGCAGCAGCAATCCTGATTCAGAACCTGAGCTTTCCTGGGCGTCTTCTCTGCTGGCTGCATGAAGACTGGTCTGGCTGCAGTGCCCCCACTGATAGAGGCCTGGCTCAGAATCCACTCTCTCTGTTTGGGCACTTCCCTGGGGCAAGATCCACCGATGTCATGCTGGGGCTCTCAGATCTGGGCCTGTGATTCCAATCCTGTTAGCTATGAGGTATTTAAGATGACCTGCTGGGTCCTTGGTCACACCAGGAGCGCTGACAGAGGCTGGCCCGAAGAGGACTCCAGGTGGTTGCCTGGGAGCTTGAACCCACAGGCCAGGAAGGGCAAGTGTGCAGCCCCTGGAGGATGCCCAGCAGATGGGAAGCGCAGGCAGGGCCAGCCCGTCTGACGGGGGCACCAGGAGCCCAAGAGGGACACGGGTCTGGGGATAGGCTGAGCAAGGCTGTACGAGGACGCGGGCTGGGCCCAAGGAGCCGGCCACAAGCACATGGGAGTCATCAGGCACGAGCTGAGCCACCAGGACACGAGCACACAGCAGGCTCCAACCCACTGTGGGCTGGATGCGGCAGGGGGCGGGGGTGTGTGTGTCACGGAACAGGAAGTAGAGAAAAGTCGCAGAAACACCGCACGGTGCGCCCTGTAAAACAGCTTGTCAGCAAGCCTGGAGAACCACCACCCCGGCCCGGGCTCCTGCCTCAGGGCAGAGCTGACAAGCTCCGTTCTGACCCCGGTGTGCTTGTCAGAAGTGGGGAATCCAAGTTCCACTGCAGTCGGGCCGGCACCGGGGACCAGCAGTCTGACGTGGTGCATGCCCTGCCCTTCGCTGACAGATCCAGCGTAGCCCACGGAAGGCTGCGTGTTTAAGCCTTGGCCAAGAGCGCTGCTACATCTGCTACGGGGCCTGCGTCTCTGTTCTTAGTCTGAGGGAGGGGTCAGGGTCAGAAGTGAAGGGGGTGATGAGTCAAGGTCCTAAGCGTGGAGGGCAGCTTCGTGCCCGCACGAGCCAGGCTGGGGCTTAGACACAAAGCCGTGCCTTCAACCTGGGACCAAGTCGGGGTTGGCGGATCCAAGGGAACCCGTGCCTTTTCCCAAATGCTCAGACCCGGGCCCTGACCCCAGGTCACACGCGCCCGCAGGGCCTGCGAGGCTAATCCAAGTAGAGCCCCCCGGGTGGGCTCTTTGTTAGTCAGCAGGTAACCAGTGACGCCTGCAGCCGGTCCCACCGTGACAGGAGGGAGCACATCACAACCAGCACACGAATGAACGTGCCGGGGAGAGAAACAGACACGGCTTGTTTATTAGAACGCAGGAAGGAGGCCTTCTTCCACGGAGCGCTGCTTCTCAGAGTCTGTATCAAGAGCAACACAAAGTTGAAAATCGTATTCCTGAGAAGAAGCAAAAAAGGTACAATTTTGCAAACAAACGTTAATGGGTGATTTCAACAACTGATAAAAAACTTTTTTTTTTTAAACAATAAAATTTCAAGTATTATTCCAGATGACACAGCAAACCCATAGCAGGCGGAAAGGGCAAGGACTTGTGGAAACTCTCGGTGGGAAGAAGCTGCTACTGGCAGGCCGGGGCACCACCAGGGACGACCTGCACCCCAGGTCCCTGGGCCACCCCGGCCCCGGCCGCAGGGGAGGAGTGAAGAAGGCGGGACAGGTTGGCAGGGCTGCAGTTGTGTTGAGGAGCCCGGCGTGGCAGTGACCCAATCATGCCCTTGGAGCTGGGGTCCCTGGACGTCTGATGATTTTTCTTTTATAAACAGAAACATATGCTTATTCTTTCAAATATCATACTATCTCCCATTTTAGTCAACTTGTAAATTATAAGTTATATCATTTGTGCTACAGTTTGCGATATTTAAGTCTTATTAGGAGATGAGCACCAAACCTATGAAAGTGCACAGGTCAGCCGCTGTGTGCGCCCCAGCTGGAAACTTTGTTCCCTTCCCTCAAACAGCACAGCATTTCTGACAAATTCCCCTTCTTCTCCCAGGGCACTTTTCTTGAAGAGAGACGTCTGCTTTGACCGTGGCTGTGCGAAAGGTACAGAGAGCAAACCTTGTGGTCGTCTTCAACAGGAGGGGACGGCTGACAGCTCCTGCTCTGGCCCAGGGCTCTGGGCGCCACTGGTAGGGGTTCTCGCCGAGAGGGTCTCACTCCACAAGAGAAAGGTCGCACCAGAGTGCCCGAAGCAGAGACCCCCGGCGTCCCCTGAGGGGCACTGTGAAATGCTCTTAAAGCGTCTGTATTCAGTATTTTCTGAGACACTGTCATTGACTGGCAATACTCCCAAGCCATTGTGCTGCCTCCCTGGATGTTTAGTTCTTGAACCTCGTCTGTTCACAGATGTGATTGAATTTCCTGCAGGGAGACAACGGTGAAATACACAAGAGGGCATCAGAGACACGTTCAACAAAGGAATTCTGAATTGCGCCTGGGGGAGCTACAGGAGAAGCAACCCTGTGCTTGGGGGTTTGCAAGGGCTTGTCTCTCATACCATCAAAGAAACTAGCCCCAAACGCAGCCTCTTTTCTCCTTTTTTAAATTTTAAAATGTAAGTGGAACATTTAGGTAATTCCCAGAGACTCAAAGCATCCCCAAGGCACTGCGGGTGACCTGGCGGGGCTGACGCCACCTCCTCTCCAAGAAGACGACTGTATCTTTGCTGCCCTGACCCAAGTGTTTACTGAGAACGGTTAGCCTGTTACTGCTGAAATCTCTTTTCTTAGAATAAAATGGTGTCTTCCACACAGTTAATGCTCGCATACAAAGCAAGCCTTTTATTCCGCCAAATCGCTCCCTCAGAGGCAGCCGCCTTTCCGGAGCCCTCATGATGACTCCTAAGCCAGGGGCGCTCTCTCAAGTACTTCCACTTGAGCCTCAAGTGGCTGTCTGGGGTTACAGTTGCCCCACACAGCATCCATCCTCAGGACTCATTTATGTGATTGCTTCCCTTACGGTTTGAAAGCGTAGGCGAGCCTGCTCCCATGGGCCACCGCGCGTGGCAGCGTGCATGTCAACGTGAAAGCCTCTAAAGACCCCCTGGGACACTCCCAGCAAGAGCCTACGAGCCATCACGGCACCAAAGGTAGACCCAGGTGCACGGCGGCGTGGCTCGGGATGGGAGTTCTCAGTGACCTCAGCCATGGATTCGGAGAGTGCTAAACCTTGAACGTGTGGGCTGGGGATGGCCGCCTGTGCGCTGGGCACATAGAGGTGGAGCGGGAGGTGAACGTTTGTATGCCAACGTTTCATGAAATGAGATAACAGAAAAGCAGAGTGTCTAAGTGATGATTTTTTATTGATATATACTATGTGACTTTATAAAAGCATGACAACTAAATTAGTTTATAAGTAGAGAGCTGACTAGTTCACGCACATCCCTAAAAGCTGCGATATCAACTTGGCCAAAACGCTTAAAGAAGAGCACCTTCCTGTAGGGAAAGCGTGGGTTTGCCTCTCTGCAGGGGACTCCTTCAGCCCCGGCCCGGCCCCCGCCCCCGTGCCGCACTCACATTGCGTGGTGGGCCTTCACCTGAGTGCGGCAGTTGCGGCCCCAGTAGCAATCAGGACGGGACGTTACGGCCACTAGGGAGAGAAAAAAGTGAACACGTGTGACACACATACCACACTCACAGACTCAGCCTAGTGAATTTAAGCCAAGGCCAAAGAGACACTGCAGCTCAAACGCACAGCGCTTCGTCACACTTCACAGCTCGTTTCCTTGCACTGTTCTCCAGGAATGGAAAAAAAGGTTCAACTGAAAACCCAGGTTAGAAATGAGATGACTCCGGTTGCCCATAGGACGTTTTTTGGGCATCTTGTTTTAGCAACCTGCTTCAGAGACCCAGAGCCTGAGCAGGCACCAGGCAGGGACGGCCCTGAGACCCGCCCGTGTCCCTGGCCGACGCAGACGTCCGCTAAGAACACAGAGCAAAGGCCCACACAGGCTATCTAGCTATTGCAAAGGAGAGTAGGAGCCAATGCAAAGAGAACTGAGCTGCGGGCCAGGTGGGGGTAGGGGCGGGGGTCTCCTTACCCGGCAGCTCAGAAGCAGGGATGTTCTGCCGATACTGGTAGGTCAGCTCGCGGAAGCTCCGCAGGCCACAGCAGTAGCACAGCACGGTGTTCCCGGTGATTCTGTAATCTAGAAGGAACACAGCCTCTTACAAGCACGGCGGCAAAATAGACGCGGCCTTGCAAACTGCTGGGGGACCAGTGCATGATCCACAGACTGGCCGGAGACAAAGGGCTGGACGTTTGGAACACGAGAACAAAACCAACCTAGATACCAACTTACTTCCTTATGGCAAAATAATTCCACCTGGATTAAAAATTCAAATATTCAAAAAAATCTAGAAAAGTACTAAGAGGAATGAATGTTCTTCTCTTGAGCTATTTCCAACTACAACATGAAAACCAAACGGCACAGAGGAAAGGATTTGTAAATGTGACTGCCTACAGTTTAAACATCACAATGGAAACACGTACAACAAAAACGAAATACTAATGAAATAGCAGAGAACGTATTTTCAGCACAAATGACAATGTGTTGTACCCTTAATTAACAAAGATATCACACAAATCCATACCTCCCAAGTTCAAATAGCCTAACGTAAATATGGACCAAGGACACAGACAAGCAAATGGCCCGTAAAACAAAAAGATCTTCAATTTCATTAATAATCAAATACGGCAGATAAAACAATGATACCTCACCATTTGCCCTTTCATATTTACAAGGCCTCGAAGGCAAACACGCAGCTGATGGGCTCAGGGGATGCTGGCCCTCAGGCCCCAGGCACACCTCAAGCGTGCCTCCAGCAGCCCTGTTTATTATCCTAAGGGTACAACTGTTAAACCTACAGGACTGCATGCTTGGCAGCTTCAGTGTTGTTTCACACAGTGAAAAGCTGGAAACGACTGAAATACCCTTTGCTAACGAACTGGCTACATGAACGACGGTATCAGGATGCTAACTAACAATCACGGTATAGATCTTTAGTGACATAGGAAGGATCCAAGATATACTGGTGAGTGAATAGCTTATTAAAAGCACATCCGATAGGATTTCATTCATACAAATTATACACACACACGGGTACATGTACTTGGAACGGTGATCGTGAAAGTACTATCACTGGGTATATTTTTAGGCGATGGGATTTCTAATGATTTTCACTTTATCCTTCAGACTTCTTTGCACCACTTACATTTTCTTTGTGAACCACGTCATTCTTATAAAAATAGCCATTAAAAGGCACAAGGACTTAAGACCCAACCACACAGAGCCGTCGCAGCAGAGAAAACCCAAGACATTCACTAGAATGTGTCCAAAAACAGCTTAGGAGGGTTCCCAGCAAACCCCTCAAGTCTTTCATAATAATTCATGTCTTAGGAAAAAAAAAATCACTTGCTGATTTTTCTGCACCCTCCCTTAGTGACAAAAATTCACATTTCACAATACACTGGGTGTCCCTGGGAGAGGGGGCGAGTCTTCACTGAGTCACCCACGCACTGAGGGACAGGCACCAAGGACCGCGAGGGTTTGGGAACAAGCAGCCCCAGGATGTCAACGCTGACAAGCGGTAGGGCCAACACCTCTCCAGCTGTGCCCCTTCCCTCCCCTGTGCGAGAAAAGATTCCAGAATATGTCATGTCGACTCAAACCCAACGTAAAGAAAGAAACCCAAGAGTAGTAGGACCTTTGTGTGTGTCTGCCAGGGTGGGCGGAGGTCTCAGGTGTGAGCGTGGGAAGCCGACAAGCAGTACTGCCGGCGTGCGGCCTGGCGGGTGTGGCTGGTTCACCAGAGGCAGAGCTGCCCTGGGAAGCACCGCTGTCGGTGCGGGAGAGCAGGCACAACGCGGCTTACCAGACAGCAGGAACGCTCCCCTCTGCAGAGCCCCGAGGCTCTCAGTCAACATGTTTTTCCACGTCAAACCCCTGGTGGCCAGATAATTCTGTAACAGGGAAACGGGCAAAAGAAGAAACACAAGCTTGGAGAAAGAAACACTAAAATGGCAAAAAGGATTGACATTTCATAAAAGGCCCTGGAAGGTGGGTAAAGCCAAGCACCTAAACGTGGTGGGCACTTGCAGAGGGCGAGCACTGCGTGCAGTTAGGGGGCCTGCTTCCAGGACCACAGCCTGGACGGCCCAGGTAGCCTCGCGGACCAGGAGGCCTGGGACAGACGTGGTATCACATCCACACACTACTGCACAAGATTTTTGTCCAAGGTGCTTCTTCTGAGTCTCAAAAGGCAGGCTAGCTTTACAACCTCGAGCGTAAGAGGTAACACACTCTCTCTGAAATTCTGCAAAGACATTCCTACCACAGGAGCAGCGAGACACCTAACCTTGGCCGGAGTGGCCACAGTGCAGAACAGGCCCATGACCACATGACAAGGAAGCCAGGGTCTGGATCTGTGCTCTGCCCTCAAGACACGTGGAGCTGCTTGGCTCCTTCTGTGCAAACCCACAAGAAAGGCCCTGTGGACATCTAGCCTGAGTACCGCCGTGCTGAGGTGCCTGCCATTCACCCTGCGGCCGATGCCGCACATGATCCAGGTGAAGGCAAGGCTCCTGGCAAGGGACTGATGTGCACGTTAAGCACTGAAGTTCTAAAAGCCGGCTGCCCCCTGCAACGCGGGAAGAGAGCGAGGGGCAGTCCTGGTTCCACCCGAGGGCCGGCCGCGCCCTGCCCCACTCCGCGCAGGCCGAGCAGGAGCTGGAACTGTGGGACACAATTCCTGCGGCTTCCTGTGTGGCGGGTGTGAAGGAATACCTATTTGGGGGGAATATAGGGATAAGCAGATACAGTGGCAGCACTAGTCAGAAGTGCAGGGTCATGAGGTCACTGGCGGGTCCTGGAAGGCCTCCCGCTGGCCTCGCTGCGCCTGTACCTTCAGGACATCCGACTCGTAGTTGTTGTTGCTCAGCACCCCGTCCAGACACCGGTCGCCCAGGTTGAGTTCTGTCAGGACGGAGGGAAGCAGTGTTATCCGTTTCATACACACTTTACGAAAGCACCGTTCACCCAACAGTTAAGATAACCAAATTTCCTTCATTACGGAGTCTACAAAGAATAAAAAGTTCCATGACAAAATACAACTTCAAACAGAGAAAAAGTAAAAGGACTTCCATTCCACTCCCCCCAGAAACAGCCAGTCTGTGCAGCCCCTGGTCTGGGGTCGTGAAGTCCGGACACGATTTTTTAGTGGGGGTGGTCCTCGTGCATGACTCAGCGTCCCCCTCACTGACGCTCGCAAACCTACGCAGACCACCAGGGAAAGGGGCCAACTCATGGTGACCAACGTGGCCTCTCCCTCCTCGGGCACACGGCCAGCCCAGCACTGGCCTCAAGTGCACGAGAGAACAGGGGAAGGTGGCGGCGATCGACGGCAGGGCCAGCATTACCGCAGAACGGGGCCAGGCAGCCGAGGCAGCCGGTCCGGGCGCAGCCCCAGTACAGGTGGCAGAAGGGCTGCAGGCAGATGGCACCTGCGGACACAGAGCACAAGCACCGGTCACGCCATCCAGCGAGGAGAAGGCTCAAGGGACTGGTAAATAAATGACAAGCTCGATTTTCATAGTGATCCAAAGACTGTAAATTAAAGCACCATGTAGTTAATCCGTTAGACTTTAAAGTGACACCTTGGACCCGGGTTCAATCCCTAGTCAGGGATCTGCGGTCCAGAAAGCCACACAGTGAACAGAATAGAATGGAATAGAATAGAATAAAATGACACATTGGAGAACTACTGTGGGGACACACGTCAGATACAAGATCCAGAAAGAGAGCCCCCCGTGTGTGTAAACTTAGTGTATGACGGGGGCGGGGTTATCAACCGGTGGGAAAAGATAGATTATTCAACGTGGTCCCGCAGAGACACCTGACGACGCAGGTGGAAACAGAGCTGCGCCCTTACTTCACACCACACAGAGAAGTCCACGACACTCTTGAAACCTGAGCTGGAAGGACACACAGGAGCGGCTCCGAGGTGGGGAGGGGCGCCGGGGAGACGGCGCACACCCACACCCTCACTCACACTGCTGGGGGGCGATGCGGGGGTCCCGCTCGCGCTCCGCCCTCCGGTCGGGCATGGGCTGGAAGCAGCAGGTGCATATGGCGTGGCTTCCTTGCAGGGCACACACGTAGTCCTGGGCTGTGGAACAGATAGGACGCTCAGGCTGGTGCCGCCAGCACACGGGCAGCAAGAGCGGCTCAGACCACACCTAGAGGGGCAGCTGTAAGGTATGCACGAGGACACAGACCTACAAGAAAACGCGGACAGAACTCAGGCCTATTTTCCTACAGCCAAGTGACGGTCTACCACTCAAACTAAGAAGTTTAAATAGATTGAAAAATGACCGAAGTTATCTCCTGGTTCAGTAGTTGTAGCAAGATTTCAAAGATCACATGAAGGTTTTTTACCATTTCCCATAAAGGAAGGACAGCCCAGACAACAGTAAAGCGATTTCTCTAGCCCCTGCTGGCTGACCCTGGACCAGGAGCTGTGTCCATGTGGCCCGGCCCCCCGTCACTCACGCACCGCACGAGGCTCTGCCTGTGCACACTGCATTACGGTCCCAGTGGGGCCTTCCACACGCTGCCCCAGCCATCCCTACCTGAGGGGCCTACAAGGAAGCCCCCAAGAGCCATGGCACAGCATCGTGGAAGATGGTTAAGAACGCGGCTCTGGGTCGCAATCCTTAGGTCAGTGGCCTCTTGACAGGCTCAGGCTGACGGTGGCAGAGAGGCCAGGCCCTACAACGCAGGACCACAAACCACAGTCCACGTGTCCACCTTCCCTTTCTCGAGGGCACCTGGGGACCTGCCCACTGAAACGGGCATCGAACAGATAGCTCAGGGCGGCTCTGGTAACATCATGTCCTGTTGCTGGAAAGAGGCCAGTCCCTCACTGGAGGGGCCTGTGTGTGACGGTCCTTTTGGCTTTGGTGTGAGCACCACGGGGGATGCCGACTGCCCTGAGGTAGTGGGCTGGGCGGGGTGGGGAGTAAGTGTTAGGATCAGGACTGAATCCTTGGGTGTGTCCAAGAGCCGAGGCCCACAAATGAAGTTAATTATTTGGTTTCTTAGCTCCAAACAGGTTATGAGAAGCAACGAGCCATTCGAGCAGAGAGGAGCCCGCAGAAGTGCCACCCGCTTCCCGAATGGTCGGGACAGCATGGAAGGTGTGGCTGTCTCACCTGTCGTGATGCTGGCGGACGTCGATGGTGCATCCCCAGGGGCCTGCGGTGCCCCTGGCTCACTGCCGGGCCCTGGGCAGGGAAGGGGCCGCCCCGCCTGCCTGCGGTACTCGGGGCACTGTCTGCACACGATGTACGGCTGACTGCAAGGGAAGAAAACCCGGAGCTTGGAGGAAAGAGGAGACACCTGCTCTGGCCGTGTGTAAGGGTGGTGGCAACGACGGCCCAGCCCCGGTGACGGGACAAGACCCAGATACTCGCTCACCGGCCTTGTCCTGCCTGCATGCCTCAGCTCTGCACCAGGTGCTGCACCCAGTGTGTGCAGAAGGGAAGGATGGCTCGGCGCACATCCTGCACAGCAGCAGTCGGCAGGCTCTCCTCCCCGCCACCTCCCAGCCCCCGTTTCCCGCACGTTCCCAGAGCCCTCGGCCACTCCTGGGGTATTGAGATGTCTTCTCCCTGCCCCTCGCCCCACTGAGCCATCCCTGGGGGCAAAGCCACCCTGTCTCCACACTGGGCAGGACGCGCTCTCACAGGTTTGATGCCCGCCCAGTGCACACCCTTCCTTTTGTTAAAATCTGAGCAGAACACGCCAGGGCTGGATGCCGCTGTCAGCAGGGGCTTTCACCCAGCTGTACGCACTTCAGCTGAGCTTTCAAATCTGCAGATGGTAAAACAGAATCTGCAGGAAAGGGACGCACGGACTCTCCCCTCATCTCAGTCAGAGGACGCCTGCCCAAGCCTGCCACCAATGGGAAGGACAGGCGAGACCTGACTAGAAAATGCAGAAACACTGAAGACATTCAGCCTCATATGTAAGAAAAACATATAAATGGGAATAAGATACCTGTTTGTCCCATTACTCTGAGTGTCGCAGGCATCACTGCTGTCCCTCTGCATACCCTGTGGGGCACCAACACCAGGACTCTCTGACAGGCATTTCATGACAGATGCCAGAAGTCCAGCAAGGCGTCCCCTCAGTGAGACTACTGACCTGAGCATCCTACTTCCATGTACTTATCTCCAAGAAATGACTGGACACGTGCACTGAACTGTAAATGCACGCCATGCACTGCAGCTTTGTTCGGAATTCAAAATATTACAAAGAAATGTTTTAAACGGTAAAAATATAAGTATGTACGACTACACGTATGTATGGCCAGATAAATACGTAATAAAATGTTCACACAAACCAAAAGTGATTTTTGGTTTTCTTTTTGCTTGACCATTATGTGCTAAATTTGGGGGAAAGAAACAAAGATAATAAACTGAGGAGCGGGGTAGCTGTTTTGTCTTTTTAAATTTTATGGCCTCAACACAAAAATTCATACCCTGGACTTCCAAGTCTGGAAACATCAACATTCTACAGCAGAGGGCTTCCCTGGTGGTGCAGTGGTTAAGAATCCGCCTGCCAATGCAGGGGACATGGGTTCGAGCCCTGGTCCGGGAAGATCCCACGTGCCGTGAAGCAACTAAGCCCATGCGCCACAACTACTGAGCGTGCGCTCTAGAGCCCGCAAGCCACAAATACTGAGGCCATGCGCCACAACTACTGAGCCTGCACTCTACAGCCCTCAAGCCACAACTACTGAGCCCGTGCACCACAACTACTGAGCCTGTGCTCTAGAGCCTGTGAGCCACAACTACTGAACCCGTGGGCCTAGAGCCTGTGCTCTGCAACAAGAGAAGCCACCTCAATGAGATGCCCGCACACTGCAATGAAGAGTAGCCCCAGCTCGCCACAACTAGAGAATGCCTGTGTGCAGCAACGAAGACCCAACGCAGCCAAAAAATAAATAAAATAAATAAATTTATGAAAAAAAACCCAACATTCTACAGCAGATAAAATAAGGTCTCCTAGGGCTTCCCTGGTGGTGCAGTGGTTGAGAGTCCGCCTGCTGATGCAGGGGACACGGGTTCATGCCCCGGTCCGGGAAGATCCCACATGCCGCGGGGCGGCTGGACCCGTGAGCCATGGCTGCTGAGCCTGTGCGTCCGGAGCCTGTGCTCCGCAACGGGAGAGGCCACAACAGTGAGAGGCCTGCGTACCAAAAAAAAAAAAAAAAAAATGTCTCCTAGGATTGCACCTTCTGCCAGGTGACTGTGGCTTTTCTACAATAACATCCTAACAGATGATAAATACTGCAACTTACGGTGCAGGACATATGATCACTAGACAAGCTACAGAGAGTGAGTGTGCTTCTGCAGAGTCTGTCTCAGCCTGTGAATCAAGGCACTTGATGATGACTCAGCAAACAAAAGGGTGTCACTTACTGTGGTGATCCTCTCACAGTAATTAAGCCAAAGCACTATGCTGTCCACCCTGAACTTACATAGTGCGGTATGTTAGTTATATCGTAATAAACTAGAAAAAATATACAGATAAGCAACAAAATAATAGAATAAATATTCCACATATACCAAAAAAAAGGGGCTGTCGCAGGAGGCAGGGCCGTGAGCAAGCCTCACCACAGTCACCTGGGCCACAGCGTCGCACCTCAGCAGCGGCCCAGACCAGCAGGTCCTGGGGAGTGGTCAGACCCGCCCCGCCCGCCCCGCCCCCACGAGGCTCACCTGACATCCGAGGACTCGCTGTCCACGTCCGACAGCTCCAGCAGGTCCTCGGAGCTCCCCTCCTCGTCGGAGAAGGCCCTCCTGACCTTGGGCTGCAGCATGTCCTGCGTGATCCTGTTCCTGGCGGCCATGCTGCGCACGTCCTCCTCGCTGCGCCTCTTGTCCGGGTGCTGCAGCAGATATGCCTCCACCAGGTTGTTGAGGATGTGGTTTTTACAGATCCGCTCCACTGGACAGCGGCAGGTGGGGCACAGGGCAGAGCGCTCCATCCAGCCCGAGTAGCAGGCAGCGCAGAAGGTGTGCATACAGGGCTGCAGGCTGAGGGCACAGGACGGGCACTGGGTGTGAGAAGCAGGGACCCAGAGTCATGCTGCCTCTTTCCCCGAAGGAGGACGTGGCCCTACTCAGACTGAGGTTCGGGTAAAAACAGAAGAATGGGCAAACTGCCCCCCGCCTCCCGCCGCCCGATCTTTCGACTCCGCAGGGCCTCAGGCCTGTGCTCTGGGGCGCCCCACCCATGCCGTGGTGGGGCCTGTGGCTGGCGGGGCTGCACCTCGGCTCACGCAGGGGCACGCCGCCTGCCTTCCACGACCCTCCTGAGAAGCAGTCCCTGCGCAAAAACACGGCATTCGGCTACAACTGCTTCATCTGTGCGCTTGCCAGCTACAAGAGACCGGGGCCACGCGGTGATCTGTGCTCCAGGAGGGCCAGGGACCACTGGGGGCCAGGGCCACCAGGAACGGGAAGAGCGGAGACACTGGGTGTGGGTGGCAAAGACCCGCGTTTATGCCGAACTGCGGACAAATTCTTAAGTTCCCACAGAGAAGCAAAGAGAGATCTTTGTTCTGGCACCTTCGCTCCACCTTAACTACCGTGTTTCCTTAACCACGAGATGCTGGCCACTCGGTACAGCTCCCCTGCTCTAGCTGAGGTGGACCTGGCGTCACTGAGGTCAGAGCCACTGCACGCGTCTCGCGGGCTCCTGTGCAGCGTCAGTCACCGGGCCCGGCTTTCAGCTCGTCAGCCGCACAAGGAGAACGGCTACGGTAACCTCGGCGGGCCTGATGCAGAGGCCAGCCCCGTCTGCGGCCCCGTGGGCCCTGCGGGCGCACCTCACACAGTCGTGCAGCAGGTCCTGGGCCTGACGCAGAGGCCAGCCCCGTCTGCGGCCCCGCGGGCCCTGCGCGCGCACCTCACACAGTCGTGCAGCAGGTCCTGGCAGATGATGCACGTGAGAGTCTCCTCCATCTTGTCTGGCTTCACGGTCGCAGCTCTGACGTCGAGGGTACTGTGGGGGTCTCCGCCCGGGTCCGTGACCAGGGGCAGGTTCAGGGCGGGCTCCCCATCTGCAAGGGAAAGGGACACGTTCTCAACATCATGACCATGGAGGAAGTGCACTCCATCTCTTGGTTTTACAGATGTCTTAACCTGTGGACAGGAGACCCAGTCCTCCCTGTATTTTTTTTTTAAATCTTTAAATTTTACTTATTTATTTACTAGCCACGCTGCAGGGCATGTGAGATCTTAGTTCCCCGACCAGGGATCGAACCCACGCCCCCTGCAATGGAAGCTCGGAGTTGTAACCACTGGACCACCAGGGAAGTCCCCTCACTGTATTTGTTTTTTTAACATCTTTATTGGAGTATAATTGCTTTACAATGGTGTGTTAGTTTCTGCTTTATAACAAAGTGAATCAGCTACATGTATACATATAACCCCGTATCTCCTCCCTCCTGCTTCTCCCTCCAACCCTCCCTATTCCATCCCTCTAGGTGGTCACAAAGCACTGAGCTGATCTCCCTGTGCTATGCGGCTGCTTCCCACTAGCTATTTTACATTTGGTAGTGTATATACGTCCATGCCACTCTCTCACTTCGTTCCAGCTTACCCTTCCCCCTCCCCGTGTCCTCAAGTCCATTCTCTAAGTCTGCATCTTTATTCCTGTCCTGCCCCTCGGTTCTTCAGAACTTTTTTTTTTTTTTAAGATTCCATATATATGTGTTAGCATATGGTATTCATTTTTCCCTTTCTGACTTACTTCACTCTGTATGACAGACTCTAGGTCCATCCACCTCACTACAAATAACTCAATTTCGTTTCTTTTTATGGCTGAGAAATATTCCATTGTATATACGTGCCACATCTTCTTTATTCATCTGTTGATGGACACTTAGGATGCTCCCATGTCCTGGCTATTGTAAACAGAGCTGCAATGAACATTTTGGTACATGACTCTTTTTGAATTACGGTTTTCTCAGGGTATATGCCCAGTAGTGGGATTGCTGGGTCATATGGTAGTTCTATTTGTAGTTTTTTAAGGAACCTCCATACTGTTCTCCATAGTGGCTGTATCAATTCACATTCCCACCAGCAGTGTAGGAGGGCTCCTTTTCTCCACACCCTCTCCAGCATTTATTGTTTGTGCATTTTTTGATGATGGCCATTCCCTCACTGTGTTTTAAAGGGCATTTTTACAAAGGTTCAAAGTAAGTCCCATAATCCAGTATGTTTAAGTTTTGCTTTATAATAGTTAACAGCATAAAAAAGACACTCAGGATACACGGGTGAGAGATAAAGGCCAGGTGTCAAATAGCATTTGTGTGTAAAGTCATTTTTGTTTAAACAAACAAAAAATGTGACCCATATGCACACAGGAAAGTGCTGGAAAATACAGACCCTCAAATGTTACCAGGAGCTTAAATTTTTTTTTTTCTGCCAGTGTGTTTTACTTTTTTTATAATCAGAGATTAAATTTATTTTTAATTAAAAAAATACTTACAATTTAAAAAGTCAAATATTTAAAAGAAAACCAAAGCAGCAGCCCTCTGCTCCAGCCTGTCCTCAGCTTCACCCTCCCTCCTTTGGGGAAACAACTTTCATGTCTTCTGTTTCTTCTGGTCCGGACCTCTGTGTTTCTGAATTGTCATGCTACGTTTAGGCTGATGGATTTTAAGACATCATCTCCTGACATCCATTAAAGCAGAGAAGGACTCTGCCCCTCTGGGTCTCCTTCCCAATATTATTCTAACACAATTATTTGTTCAGTATATTGTATTTATATTATTATGCTTAAATATTCACTGCTCACACAGTATAATTTTCTTCCTTATACAATTTTTCATTTCTCATAGAGTTAAAAGTGGCTCCATTTTCATACTTATGTTTTTGTACCTGTTGCTGACTCACCCCACACCTCCCCAGGCCAATCAACTCAATTTTCCACTCAATACATCAGATAATGCAGTTTCTTTCCGAGGCCCTCCCTCCTGTCACACTGCCCCAATCCAGGGGAAGCTCTCAGGCCTGCCTCACAGCTACTGTCCTCCCAACAACATTCCCAAAAGTTTTTACAATCTTTTTAACTTTGACTTTTAAAGTATAGATTTTTCTCAAAATCACCTTTAACGTGAAGGTTCAAACTATCACTTGAAGATAATATACTCTTAAAAACTGGCTGCTGTATCAGAACAGAGCTGCAACCCCAGACTGTGGTCTCCAGACCAAGAGCATATCCTGACAGTAAACATAGTTCAATCCCGACGGTGCAGACAGGAAAGAAAAGGCCCAGATTGCCATCTGGAAGATGCTGAGGTACCACAGGTGGCAGCTGAAGACAGGGTCCTCCGACTTCTGCAGATGGTGGGGCCCCAACAGGCTCAGATGGGACGGTGCTGCCGGGGCGCCAAGGCTACACGCAACCACTGGACTCTGACCTGCTTTTACTCTCTTCTTGACGGGCTCCAAGTCCTCCTGGTCCTTGGGTTCCGACAGAGAAAAGGACGCCCCCTCTCTTGCTGGGAGAGCCAAAGGGAAGATGACGACTTCATCACTTGCCACAGATGGACCACACCCTTTTGGGGAGACGTCTGCACCTCTCGAGCCTGTGAGAGGGACAAACAAGAGACATCCTGATTCACCTGCCTCAGAAGAAGAGACAGCAGTTCAAAGCGTCACTGATTCAAACCAGGCGCAGGTAATCCAAGATGTCGTTAAAAAACAAACAAACGGAAGGGTTCACTTTGTGTGATTTTTACAGTATATGAATTATAACCTGTGAAGAATACCACAGTATTGTAGTCCCTGGCCTTCAGCCTGTCTCTTGGGGATGGAACAAGACATTTACTCCTACAGAAATCTTACTACTGACAGCCTGATGCCTGACACCACCTCTGAACTCCTCCGTGGCTTGTCTGTCTCCGTAACAATGCAAGGCAGGATTAGCGAACAAAGGGCAACGCAGCTACCACCCTGAGATCCCCATCTCACCGGAGCTGGAGGGAGGCCCTCGTCCTGCAGAGGTGGGCTCCATGGAAGAGGTAGAGGCCATGGGGAAGAGGTCCGATGTGGACGTTGATGGCTGTGGTTCCTCAAAGCACACCTGAGTGGCGGGTGGCGATGGCAGGACCTGGGGATCCTGGGGGTCGTCGCCTTGCCCTGCACCTGAGGTATCTTTGGTCACGTGGAACACGTTTTCTTTATTAGCCTCTGTAAGCACAAAGAAGCAGGAGCATAACACAGTCGGGGCGCAGGGGGAGCCGCTGCGTCAGGAATACATTCCAGCGGATGAAGAGTCAACGCATGCACCCGCTCCTTTGCGAAAATCTCACTTACCGAAGGAGTCTTGCGTTATGCCTTGCTTTTCATGGAAGGATTCGTAGAGGTATGCCACATCTGAAGGAAATTAATCGAACCGGAGTGGCGTTTGCCACACATCAAGAGAGCCCATCTTTCTCTTCTGCTCCCTCCCATCACCTCACGGTCACTTTGCCCTTGTTGACTAGTTCGACTTATCAGCTAGTAACCACATCCCCCGGTTTAAGGGATTTTTAAAGCAAGTGATCCAAAACATCTGAACCAAACTTAAAATAAATAAGCCTCAGAAAACCATCCGGCGTCAGGAGGTAGACTAAGGCAAGCAAAGCGATGAGGAGGAGTGAGCCTGTGTCTTGTCATTTCAAACCACCAGGACCGGACACAAGATCCTTCCCTGTGGCCAGGGGCTGGCTTTGACTGCTGAGGACAGTCTAGGGGATACCCGCCCTCTTCTTCCTATTTCCGGGGTAACCTTCGAAGAACTCCCCTAACTCTCCCTGTCCTGCATCATTCTTCTCCCGCCAACACAGGCGCAGATGCTCAGAGCTGGAAAAGCCCTCACGGAATATCCCATCTAACCTTTGCTGTTTCCCGTAAAGCCTCCCAAAGCAGAGCTGTCCGTGGCCTCCAGCCCCCATTCTAGGCCTTATTCTCCTCACTCAGGTGCCCTCCTCACCGCCCCCCCGCACCCCGTCTCCCTGGCTACCATATCGAGACCGTGGCTCATGGCCACAGTGGCATTTCTTAAGAATGGCTGGGGCTCAGTCCACGAGGTCAACACTCCCATTCTTCAACAGACGCTACCCACACCAAGAATGTACATGAACGAAAAAGGGGACGCAGCTAGCACTAACATTCCTTCAGGAAATGCCTGCTTCAACAGCCTCTTCCCACAATGCTTCCCCGCTGTGGCAGGTCCCTGCTGCACCACCCGTGAGTCCAGCCCAGAAACCGCCCCTCCCTTACTGTGTTCTGGCTCATTCTTCCTGTACACCAAGTAGATGACGTCCCCAGTCTGTAAAGGGCAAGTCTGCTTCTTAACAACCTTCAGCTTGTTAATTACTGTTCCGTTGGTGCTGTAGGGACAACAAAAATCCAATTTATCCTACTTAAAACAACTTGGAGTTAAAATTTTCCTTTTCTACAGCCAGTAGGAAAGCAGTTCAATACTACCACTTTGCAAATGACAGAACACTCATAGGAATGATGTAAATACTCGTGCCACCTTACAATTCTCTTGAGAAGAACCTTGCCTGTTGCCCCCTCACTCACAGCCCAATGGTGTGTCAAGTGTTTTAACGCCTCCGCTGTGCCAGCCCCACGTTCTCCTCCTGGTGGAGCCCTGGACGCCCACCAGCAGCACGTGCTCTGATTCCCAGCTTCTCTCTCGCTTCTGCACCACGCTCTGTCGACAGGCCTAACCCTGCTCCGGCAGCCGCGGCCCAGCTCAGTTCACTCCTCACATGAGCACTGACCCTCCTACGACATGGGCTCTGGGCAAAAGCAAATCGACGCAGGGCTACCGAGCAGAAGATAGCGCGGTCCCTGCTGCTGGGAAGTCACTCCAGTTAATCAGGGACCACAGTGCCTGATGGGAAGGCACGGCCAGGAGACACCGGGACCTCGGTCAGGCGGGACAGGAGGCACCTCCCTGAGGAGCGGCTCCCGCAGGCAAGGGGAAGAGCGCACCGGACAAAAGCCAAACTCGGCAACTGAGCAAGCCCTCCCCGCCCCTTTCCAATTTCAGGCACTCAGTCCACGTGGGCCCCAACTCCACGGCCCGACTCCTAAGGCCCCCAGTGCTGAAGACGCGTCGTCACCTTTCCCTCTGAGCAGACTGCCACTACTTTAGACTTCTGTAAAGGGCCAGGCAGGAAATAGTTCAGGCTGCGCGGTCAGGCTGTCTCCGTCCCAACTCCTGCAACCAACAGGTGGCAGGTCCCTGGAGGGCTGGGCTGCCTTCCCAGTAAAGCCCCACTTACAAAGACCAGCAGAGCTGCTGCAGCACTGCCGCAGCCTCTGCTGCCAGGCTCTCCCCACGACCTATCCTCAAGCTCTTTCTAACCCAGAAGTCTGATTTCACTTTTCCGTTTAAACCCCTCGGTGTCTCTTCACTGCTCTCAGGCTAACGTCCAGTCTCTCCAGCGTGGACGTCGGGGTCTTCCTGATTGCACCTCAGGGCCTCTGCACCTGCGGCTCCTCCCACCTGGAACACCCCTGCCCCTCCAGCCACCTCGGCCAAGGAAGGCAGCAGCCTCTAGAAGCTGGAAAGGACAGAGGATGGCTTCTCCCCTAGAGCCCCCATAAGGAGCTGACGCCAATGAGACCTGAGATGGACTTTGACCACCCAGGCCTATAAGATCACAGATTTGTGCTGTTTTAGCCACTGAGCCTGTGGTAATCGTTACAGCAGCCTTGGGAAGCACATAGTATCCTGTGGCCAGGGTGGGAAAGCCAGGGCCTGAGGCAGAAAGAAGACTCTGGAACCAGCACTGTTACTGTACATTGTGCTGAGAAATACAGGACTTGACCTGCTACCTATCAGAGGAGGAAAAGCAGCATCCGTTCTTCCTAATAAAACCAAATTCCTGGTCTTCTATCCCTCAAACTGCTACTTACCAAAGAATCTCATAGCACTTGACCTTCACAACAATAAAAAAAATCACCTTGTGGGAAAGGCGTGTTCTCAACACACTGCTGGATGGCCGTCCGCCACTCACACCTTCCACCCAGCATTCCTTCCCATAAACTTACCCCAGGAAAATCATCAGACATGAATGGAAAGAGTTTTGGAGGAGAGTCACTGCAGGGTCATTTATAATAAGAAAAAGTCAAAATAATAACTTTCCATCAGTAAGGGAGCTGACAAATTATTATATAATAATGAAAAAGACGAGATGGACCTAGACATACGGACGTGATGAGCACTCTGCAAACATTCCAAGTAAAATAGATACACAGTATAACAGTATAATCTCATTAATACAAAATAAATATGTATGTATTGTGTGGGTGAGTGGAATTTTGGAAAGCTTTTCACTTTCATGTGCTACTTATGTGGTATAATAATAATAAAAAAAAAGAAAGACTTCTTGATTTGGGGAAGTCTAACTTGAATAGGTTTGCAAGAACCCAAAATGTATCACTGCCTTTTAAGTCTTATTTCTGAGCTATTTTTGCTTTAACCTGAATACATTTAAGAACGGTCACAGACACCAAAGTGTCACTAAGTAGCCCATCCTGGAAACCAGAAAATACATCTTCCAATACCCGGAGACCCTATCGGACTACTGAGCTATAGAAAGCAGGCCCTTGTCTCTTCTCTGCACTCACTGGCTTCAAGTCGGCTTCCTGAAGCTACAAGAGGAAAGAAGTTCAGAAAGAGCTTACCTGGTATCTTCCAGCGACACCTGACCAGATTTTTCATCCACTATAATTTTACAGTGATCTCCAGAGACCAGTTTATTGCCGGGGAATGAAAGGTCACAACCTAAAACAGTGAGGGGGGCGTGCTGGATACGACCGTGGGTACCAGGCATAATACCGCCCTTTGCTTAAACAAAGCATGCGGCTGGAAGTCAAGACCCATGTTGTACCCACTTACGGAGACAGCACTTAATCAAGTACAAAGAAACTTTTAAAAAAGCATTTAAGTGTTAATCCAAAGTAAGGGACAGGGACTATGTCTTGAACCTTTCTGACTCCTCCTTACCTAGAGGATATGCGCCATCAACACCTCCAGCTACACATCAGCTGCTTCTTGGTGACATTTTTACAATATGCACGCATATGCAGATAGCCTGATAAGTATTACAGAACTTTAAAAAAACTATGGGGCTTATTAAATATCTTCAGTATCTTAGTCCTTAATTTCTTCTGTGTAACCTAAGGTTTCATAAATCATCACAAAATTAAAGCAATGACAGAGTCACAGAAAATATGAATGAGTAAATTATCATAGGCACATGTAAGCGTTTAAGAAAATTTAAAACAGAAGGGGGATGCATCTACAGCTCAATACAGTTGTTACACCCTCATCAAATCCAAGAGGAAAACCCTCAAATGCTTTGTTCTCTCCTTAAATCGAAAGAATAAAAGCGGGCTTCCCTGGTGGCGCAGTGGTTGAGAGTCCGCCTGCCGTTGCAGGAGACACGGGTTCATGCCCTGGTCCGGGAAGGTCCCACATGCCGCGGAGCGGCTGGGCCCGTGAGCCATGGCCGCTGGCGCTGGGCCTGCGCGTCCGGAGCCTGTGCTCCGCAACGGGAGAGGCCACAACAGTGAGAGGCCCGCGTACGGCAAAAAAAAAAAAAAAAAGAATAAAAGCTTTCAGGAGTGTTTTAATACTGAGTCACTAATCTCCTTATAACAGGTTTGCACCATAGCTACTAAGGTTTATAGTACCTTTATTTTATTTTGGGCCGCGCCCCGCAGCTTGCAGGATCTTAGTTACCTGACCAGGGATTGAACCCACGCCCTCGGCAGTGAAAGTGCAAAGTCCTAACCACTGGACCGCCAGGTAATTCCCTACCTAGGGAAATAAATAAAATAAATAAATAAAATAAAAATAAATCTTTATTTTTTAATAACCAAACGTGGGAAGCAGTACTGGTACCCGTCAACTGGTGGTGAATTAATAAACACACTGCAGAACATCACCCAGCAACAAAAAGGAACAAACTACTGATATATGTAACTGCCAAGGATGAACCTCAAAAGCACCAACCAAGGGAAGGCAGCCAGACCCAAAGACTGTGCTGCAATACAGTGTGATTCCCCTTAGACGGCATTCTTAGATGGTCTCCTTGCAGCCCCAGACCCAGGCTGGTCACCAGGCTTTGTCACCGGAGTGGGGTTTTACTAGGCTTCTCCACACCTGAACATCTGCATTCCAACTGAGAACTGAAATACCTTTGCTAAAGTTCTACTATTGGTATTTGCCCTGCTTGTCGTTCAGTTGGTTACTCTCTCCATGGTTGGTACACATCTCTGCCACTCCCCGAGAATGGGAAGCTCTTTGGGAAGGCGAGAACCCCTGCATCCTTCCACACACGTCAACTCAGCTCTCCCTTTTCCTCAAAATAAGGCCTTGTATATAGCAGGCGTGCAATAGTTTTAAAATAAATCTAGTTCTACAACCTGAGACCCTATCCCCCAAAGTGACTGTATTTAGAAAGAAGGCCTGTAAATGATAAAAGTTAAATGACATCATTAGGGTGGGGCCTTAATCTGATAGGGCTGAGGCATTTATAAGAGGGAGACGCCAAAGATCTCTTGGTCCAGCAGGCCAGGACACAGCGAGAAGGCAGCTGCCTGCAATCCAGGAAGAGGGTTCTCACCAGGAAACAAACTGACTGTCACCGTGATCTTGGACTTCCTAGACTCCAGAACTGTGAGAAATATACTTCTGCTGTTTAAGCTTCGTGATCTGTGGTATTTTGTTATGGCAGCCCAGGCAAACTACGTTTTGCTGGAAAGGTTAATATATTCAAGGAAAGGACTTCCATTAAGAATCAACTCAACAACACATTTTTGCTCCTTGTATTAGCATATAAAATGATACTACAGTGTTGTGTTATAACAACAATGGCTAACATTAAGTGCTAACTCTTAGGCAGGCTCCTTCTAAGCACCTCACTCACGATCTCCTTTAATCTTCACAGTGACCCCATGAAGTAGCTACAAAGGCACCAGAAGGTAAATTGGCCCAAAGCAGGTTATGCGGTGGTGGTGATGCTGGTGGCCTAGGGGGCATGAGGGTGGTGGTCTCCAGGCTTCTGCTCTTCACCAAACTTCCATTCACACCAAGTAAAGACAATACATCTTGAAAAGTTTCTAATGATATGTAAATACTTTTAAAGTTGTAAAAACAAAAAAAAAAAAAATTAACTTGATATTGGGATTTAAGACTGCCTCCCCAAAAAACCCCAACCAAAAACAGGTACAGGTGCATGATGATGGGTAAAATGAAACCAAAGAACATTTGCTTTTAAACACTAATCTTTCTCATTATCTCTTGCTTAAAGTATAAGGTCAGTGTGACAACTTATTAATTTGCAGAAAAACGAAATATTTTTGTTGGCCTGATCAGTGCACTTCACTCCCAGTAGGAAAGCTACAAGGGAGGTTAAATCACCAGATGGCCACTAGGAGTTTAGAGGCAGCAAGGGGGGGCGGGGGGGGGCGGGCTCTTCCTCTCACTAGTTACAGGACTTTCTTCAAGGCCGTAGTTTCCCACGTTCATTACATCAACAAATATTTGAGCAGCTCTATTCTAGGAGCTGGGACTTGAGATCTTTTTTTTTAAATGTAGCTGCCTACGGCTATAAATTTCCCTCTGAGCACTGCTTACCTGCATCCTCTAAGTTTTGGTACATTAAATTTTTATTTATCTCAAAGTATTTTCTAATTTCCCCTTTGATTTCCTCTTAGACCCACTGGTGGGTTAAGAGTGTTATTTAATTTCCACATATCTGTGGATTTTCCGGTGTTCCTTCTGCTAACTTATTTCTAATTTCACTCCATTAAGGTCAGAGAAGATGCTTTGGATAGTAATACCCTTGAGAAAACCGCATTCCAGGAGATAAATTATTGCACCTACTTCATAACGTTGCAGTGAAAATTAAATAACCTGCATGAAACACGCAGAAGTAACTGGGCCGACCAATACGTGAATAAACGGCAGCTGTTACACGACGGCCCATTCCACCGGAAAAACCGGGCAGCAGAACGCGCCGCGCCCAGGAGCCTCCCACAGCCCAGTGGGCCCGGTCTCGCCCAGTCCCCGCCCTCAGGTCCCGGCTCCAGTCCCCCAACACTCGGACCCCGTCGCCCGCCCCCATCCCGGGTCCCCGGTCCCCACCCCCGTGCCCGGACCCGTCCCCGGCTCGCCCCCAGTCCGTCCCACGTCCCCCATGCCCGCTCCCCGCCCCGCACCTCCTCTCCGCCCGATGGTCCACTCCCGTTTCCTCAGGAGGACGTGCGGCTCGCCCTCCTCGGCGCCCAGGCGGAGAAGTCTCCCCCACGGCTGCTGCTGCGGCGGCTGCTCGCCTTCCCCCGGCCGCTCCATCGGCTTCACATCTGACGAGACCCGGAAACGTCGGGTGAGACCCGGCCCGCGAAGGCAGAGGCTGCGGCCCGCCGCTCCTCCTCGGCGCCCGCGCCACGCCGCCGCGGCCCGCGCCGCCAGCCCCCCACCCGGGTCCCGACGGCCGCCCGCGCCCGCCGCCCTCTTACCCCCCGCCCCGCGCCGAACCCGGAACCGGCCGCGCGGCCGCCGCCGCCGCTGTCAACGGACATCTCGGATCCCTCAGCTGATCCGTGAGGCGGGGCCAGCGGCGTCCGGGCCCTGCGATTGGCTGGTGGTGGCAACCACCGAGCGCGGCGGCTAGAGCGGAACCTGGCGGACTGCCTTCGAGAGTGGACGCGTGGAGGCGAGCAGAGCGTGCGCAGACTGGAGGCTGCGGGCCTGGACGCCCTCTTTGATGCTGGCCAGGACGATTTGGTGTTCCAGGATCTCGGAAGTAGCTGCGGTCAGCGCCATGTTAAGTCGGGGCAAAAGGGACGGAGTGATTTGGGAGTTGGGCGCCGAAGCAAATTCCCAAAGCGGTGTTGGAAGTGCAGAGGGCGTTTAGATATGCAAAGGGACGACCCGCCTTACAGATGACGAGGTAAACGCAAGTCGAAACTTTCGGGTGCCAGTTTCCCCGCGATCGGAAAGTTGGTAGTGCCCTGGGAGAGCTCTGGAGAGCGCGAGCATCTCGGTTGCGGGTCTGCACCTCTTGGAGGGGGTGGTGCTGTCTTTCGGTTTTAAACGCGCGTTTCGGTGGCTCAGCGATTCCGCCTCCTGGGGTCTAGCGGCGTTGCGGTGTGTGTGCCCGGGGAGGATGCCCTGGGGTCGTCCGTGCCGGGCGCGTGGGAGTGGAGGTGCGGGTCGGCCAGATGCCGAGTCGCGGGGGGGCGCCGTGCGGCCCCGGGCTGCGCGGTTCAGAGCAACAAGGCCATGCCTGACCGACGGGGACCTCGAGATGGAAGTAGAAAGGACAGATGTGTTCATGCGCTCATAAAAATAATGTGAAAGGACAGAAAATAGCAGTGGCTGCCTCGTGAGAGAGCAGAAGTCAAGGGAGTGAGGGAGACATCTTTCGCTCTGTACTCCTTTGTGTAACTTAAACATCATTTGTAATTTTTACCTTTTCTTCTTCAGATAAAAAAAGTAACCATTCTTTCTCTGAGGCTGTTTTTCAGTATTGTTTCGTGGGGGACTGAGGTTATTGCACTTGCTGTCTGAACCAGGGCCTAGCCTGGCATCAGGAGTGTTTGGAGGGCCTGTGTTAGTCTACACAAGGCCGACCTGCTGCGGAACCAGGATGACATTGAGCCGAAGGAACAGCCCAGGCTTCTTGGGTGACAGGCTTCCAGACCTCGGGGACAGTGAGCTAACTCAGGCCAGAGGTCCATGTCAACTTAGTCTTAAAAAAGCGCACCTCTCCTGTCCATCTCAGATTCAGGACACAGGAAAGGCCAGAATTTAAAATTCCTCTGAAGAAATTTGGTTTAGGGGGAAAAGAAGCGAATCACAGCACCCTAGCAGACTCTTTGGGTGTTGGGGGCAGTAGGTGCCTGGCTAATCAGGCCTTTCTGTTCAAATGGAAGCCCTGTTCTTGGGATCACAGCTGGTGTAGCCCCAGCAGCAGCTCAGCTTTACAAGAACTGGCAGCTACTCTCTGGTTGAAACCTTATCCTCTCTGCCCCTCTCCGTCACCTCAGGCACATTCACTGGGTCAGTAGGGTCCTTGCTTCACAGATGCTCCCTTAAAGGCTGGGCTTAACTCACTAATGGTTTGGCTTCGGTGTCCAGCAGGCCACAGTGGCTCTCCAGGTACGTAGATACGAGAGCAGACGTAGTCTCCTCAGTGGACAGAACTGAGGCCGTTCTCATAGCTCTGGCCAACGCTCACTTTGATCTTTTGGCCCTTGAATTCCGCCAGTGGTCTAGCTGTCTGGTCTGTCACTTTGAAGAGTGCTGACTGACAGATTAAAGACGTTATTCTTTGGGGCTGCAGACTGTAAAAACAAATTGTGGCTGCCTATCAGACTGTCTAGGTCAGTTGCATAGACGCCCATCTTTGATGGAAACAAACAGAATTAAGCTATGAAGCCTGCCTCTCCCTGATCACTGACTACCACCTGCAGTAGTCATCACAATGGAAATTCCAATGTATCCCCCATCATGGACTGGCAGAAGTGGAGGATTTTACGCTCCTGATGTAGAAGCCAGCAGGTAACTTGGAGGTGGCAAACCTTATGCCTAGTCCACTGAGGGAGCCTTGTACCTCCTGCCAAAAGTTGGCCCCTTGGTTTTGTGTTAAAAGAGGACACATTATTTGGGGCATTGATCTCCTTACTCCTGGAAAACTATATCTGTCCTTTGACCCCTTCTCAGGGCTACCAGTGATGTCTCACCACTGCTGACACGTTTTCAGAACGTGTTACCAGCTAATTCTGGACACATTGACTTGGCCCTTGAAATGAAACGAAACTAAGCTCTCATCATGTTTTTGATTGTCTGGCCCATTTGCCACCTAACAGTGGTCCATCTTTTGTAACAAAGTCTATACAACAATGACTTACAGTCAAGGTAATCAAGGGACCTGCCAAACTCCATCATTTCCTGTTCTACTCACCTGAGTTGGGTTGTTTGGTTACTGTATTAATTTCCCATTACTGCTGTAACTAATTACTGCAAATTAGTGGCTTAAAACAACACAAATTTAACAGTTCTGGAGGCTAGAAGTCCAAAATGGGTCTCATTGGGCTAAAATCAAGGTATTGGCAGAATGGATTCCTTCTGAAGGCTCTCGGGGAGAATCCGTTTCCTAGTCTTTTCCAGCATTCCTTGGCTTATGGCCTCTTCGTCCATCTTCAAAGCCAGCAGTGCCCCGCTGAGTCTTTCTTACCAGGCTGTATCTCTGTTACTGTCTAGTACCTCCATCTTTCGCTTATAAGGATCCTTGTGATTAAATTGTACCCACCTGGATAATCCAGAGTAATCTCCCTATTTAAAGGTTCATAATTTAGTCACGTATGAAGAGTCACTTTTGCCATGTACGTTCCAGAGAATAGGAAGTGGACATAGTTGGAGGCCACTATTCTGTCTACCCCAGTTACCGAACTCTGCTGTTTCTAAATAGGGATCATCTCCATTTGCCTGATTCCTGGATAATGTTCAAGAAAAAGTGGTAGGGAGATATGTGAGGTTATACAGACTATTTTAAAAATTTAGGTATCCACCTTGACCATTCCTGGGCATGGTGCTTCCTTGTTTCACCCTCGAGCAACAGCGGGCAAGCCTGAGTGTTATCCCTTGCAGGTGGCTATCCAGAAGGAATCATAAGGGATGAAAATAAAATTTAATTCTGGTTCGTTCAGCTGAATTTTCTTGTTGCAGTGACACAGTCTTGAATCATGAGAATAATAATCACTTGGCTGGGTACACTGCTTTCTGATTTCCCTTTCACTGGCCCACATAGGGCAAAGTGGGAGATACAGTGAGTCTCTGAAATTTTTGGAAAAATGCCTTTGTCCCAATCCACACCTTCATGTGAAAAGTCTGGGCATGAATTTGGGTTAATTGTTGAAAAGATAAACTTGTAACTTCTGAATACACTGATTGTGTAGCAGTGAGAGAGAGCAACAACATTGGTGATTTGGAGCAGGGTGACCCTTAGACCCTGGGAGGTACAGGGAGTTCATGGGGCAGCCAGTGCTCTTTTTGCCCCCTCATCCAGCACTGATTCAACAGCTGTAGCTGGCAATCTGACCTGCAGGCAAACTTGTCATGCCCACCCATATACTATCAAAACAAAAAACTGACTCCCAGATTCCAGTCCAAGGTGTAAGGAGCTTCAAGTTATCTCTCCCAGCCTCACAACAAGAAAAAAGCTGAAGAAGCTGGAAATCAACAGCTCTTCTCAGATCTAACAGATAATTGACCCCAAAATTGTAGAGACAGAAAAATACAGGGAATCAAAACTTACCGGAGCAGAAGCCACTACTGGAGCCAGTACCAGGATATTAAAACTTACATGTTAATTGGAAAATGGCCAGAGGCTCAGTGTGGACAAGCTTGAAAGTTAAAAACTCCAGGGGTGCCAGTCTTAGAGGGGTCCTCACACTTTTGTTAATTTTACTCCCAGCAACCAAACACCCCCTTGTGCTCCTGGTAGGGGCAGGAGAAAAGTAAAAATTTTGAATATACCCAGAGTATTCTGTTCTCCTTCACAAAAGTCTGCCCTCAAGGGAAACTATTCCACCAGAACCTAACCTACTGGGGTTTTATTGGAGCCTATTTGACAGAGGGGAAGGAGAGAACCCAACTCAGCCTCCTCCAGCCTGCCTGCCACACATGGGAAGGGCAATACCCAACTCCAGTCTTCTCTAGCCTTCCTGTCTCACCTGAGGTGCGGGAGCTTGGAATAGAACAATCTGAGAAGCACTGTAAAGGTCACAGCCCAGGAGTACAGATTAAATAAATACTGAGACCTAATCATAAGCGGATAGACTGCTTCCCCGGCCCCACACATTAACAATACACCAATAGGGACGTTGTATAATAAGAGGGGGTACAGCTGCAAGAACTGCAGAGCTCAGACCTTACTTAAGAAGTAGTCTCTTGGGCTTCCCTGATAGTGCAGTGGTTGAGAGTCCGCCTGCCAATGCAGGGGATGCAGGTTTGTGCCCCGGTCTGGGAAGATCCCACATGCCATGGAGCAGCTGGGCCCGTGAGCCGTGGCCGCTGGGCCTGCGCGTCTGGAGCCTGTGCTCCGCAACGGGAGAGGCCACAACAGTGAGAGGCCCGCGTACTGCAAAAAAAAAAAGAAAAAAAGAAAAAAAAGAAGTAGTCTCTAGGGAAACCCAAGGACAAAAGGGGAGACAAAAACAAATACACCAAAGAGGAAATTTTAGCCTCTATCATCACCTACACCTATAGGAAACAATAAGCAACCTGCCTCCTAGCCAGATAAACATGAAACCTCACACTAAAAGCCTATTTACCTCAATTCCTTTTACCCAATGCATCATGTTCCACTTTCAACCAGAAGTCTACAAGGAAGACTAAAAGACAAAAACACAGTTTGAAGAGAGTAAGTGTCAGAATCGGACTCAGACACGGCAGAGATTTTGGAATTATAAGGGCCCTCATGGAAAAAGTGGACAACATGCAATAACAAATGGGTAATATAAACAGAGAAATGGAAATTCTAAGGAAGAATCAAAATGAAGTGCTGGAGATAAACATTAACAGAAATCAAGAATGC